GAAAGCGTTGCACGTGCGCTGTAAAAAGTGGACAGCCAAAAAAGCAGATAGCAAAATAAGAATACGCAGTGGCTACGTTCACTATATAAATGTTATATATTATTATTATTATTATTATTATTATTATTATTATTATTATTATTATTTATTATTATTATCATTATTATTATTATCATCATTATTATTATTATTATTATTATTATTATTATTATTATTATTATTATTATTATTAAGTTACAGTCGAGAATACGTTTTCAGCCCAGTACGCTATGCTGAAATTTTACTGTATTACCCGGTATTCATTGTCTCGCAATGCCCCGTACACTTTGACTTTGTCCTTGAATGGAGCAGAAGCTGCAAGGACGTGGTTATTGCGTCGTAGTGTCAAATACACAAGGATCGTAGTAGAACCTCTTTGATATAGGCCCACACCCGCACTTGCGCTTCCTCACTGTATCATGAAAGTTTACTTTAGATCTATAATCAGTGCTTGATCACTCTTTATCATATTTATTTTGTTTTCAAAACCAAATATACTTCCTGCCCTTCCTTAGCGCTCGCCAAATAGTCTGTAAGCCATATGAAAGCACACTATAAGTTAAGATCATCTTCACAAAGAACTAGATCTAGATCTAGATCTAGACATGAAACAGACTTTGTCGATCATGGTTCATGATTCAGTTCTCTGTGTAGGTGCTCTGAAAAAACATATTACATATATCTTAGGCTTTCCCCGTCACCCGCATTCAAGTTCTGTAAGTTGTTCTTTGTCTACTGACCATCTACGTCTGCTTCTTTTGTTTGCCCTCTATTTTTTTTCTTCTGTGAGAGCAATGTTCAAGGCGTTTATGTCGATTCGACTGTTGTAGAAACTTCATTTGTCTCTTCTTAATTACTTCGCATTACTGTAGGCCTATGGCTTTTTTTCTCCATTGCCTCATTTCATTTCCTTCTATTCATTAAATTTCAATGTCACCTAAGAAACCACGTCTTTTTTCTTTTATTTATTTTCACTAGAATCTTTCTTATAATGAGATACTCATTATTATTATTATTGAGTGATAACACTGGCAAAAAAATTATTTATTACCGTAGTGCTGGACCGGCAGCGTGTTGCCCGGACTCTGACCCCGGGGTCACGCTGACCTCCCGGTACGTGCGATCAGGTACTTAAGTATCTTGAATGCGACGTAGTGCGAATATTTATCGATCAGAGTGTACGGGTGTAAAATAACCAGTCACTAGATAGGCTATAAGACAAATGACATGAAATATGTCACTGGGGATAGGGTTAAAAATGTATGACTCAAAAAGGGCAAACACCTTTTTTTATCTTCTATATTTTATATAAAATTTCTGGTCTATTTTGGGGTCACCACGTACAATGAGGGCAAAGATAAGAATCTTTGAGGAGGGGTAGTAGGCCTAAGCATGCTCACTTGCCAAACGGGGATCTAGACAGGAACAACCCAACATTCCAGCTTCATACAGCACTGCAACACGAATCATTAAAAGCAACAACAAACATGATTGGATGAACAGATGGGCCTTTAGAAAGACAGGCAGAGTTATGACATAACCTGCCAACACAAAGCCATCTAGTTTCGTCTCAAAGCTAGATCTACCTGGTTTTAGGCGGGGGGGGGGGGGGGGGGGGGGGGTTAGGGACAAAACAGAAGATGGTCAACGGAGGGTTGTCTTTCCGAGGGCCTAGTCGTGAAAGGCACCGGTTCAGACAAAGAGTCTACATAACAAGAGGGGCCACTTCTCTCTTTGAGCCAATTAAAAAAGTGTCCTCAAAATTCGGTGGCGCCCTCTTCGCAAAAGCGCACCTTTTGCGAACAGAGTTATCCTACTTGAGTTTTAAAAAAATCAAAGTGAAACTAGCAAATTTTTGAATGAATTTCGGAAGAACGCTTTTTTAAAATGGTTACGCTGACAACAAAAAAACCTCTTCCGGAGGAAAGGGTGATTGTTTTCTTCGTTTAATTTGACTTTAGAATGAAAGGCGAGAGGTCATTAAAATATAAATAACCTAAAACTCCGCACTGAACGAACCCGAACTGCTGATGAACAGCAGTCGATCTGCGCACGCAAGGAGGTGCTATTCCTATTCTTCTTCTGGAAAAACGAAAGAGAGCTTCAAGACAGACTGCAGCGCCATCTGAAGCAAAGAGCATACTTCCTGCGGACACTTTTTTGGCTGAGTGGCCCATCTTGTTATTTACTATCTTTGATTCAGATCTAGATCGAGGTCTCTGCATCTGATTGGGCAATTTCAAAAGGTAGGCTAGGACTATGCTATGCTGCGATTGGCACTTTCAACAATTTATGTTTGAGTAATTTCCTCCACCAAACGGTCGGTTATCATAAGCCAAATTGATATCCTAAAACTGTCCGTGTAAATACTGCATGGTTGGGGGTGGGGGGGGGGGGGTGTCTGGCAGTAATACACGTATACAGTGTATTTACCCGTACCGATAGTTTGTATAGAGGCGAATACGATGAGGGGAAAATATAAATAAAGGAAGAACAGACTGAAATACGTAAGTCACACGAGACTACCGTGCCACGCTGACATGTTGTTGACGGGATATAATTTATATGATGTACCTACCGCGCAAGTATGTGTGTGTGTGTGTGTGTGTGTGTGTGCGCGCGTGTGTGTGTGCGTGTGTGTGTATAAATGGACCACGCGCTGTCATGTTATGTTACATGCCCCTGGAAAATTGAGAAGCCGAGTTGGCAATCACCCTTTCTTCTCGGACAAGGGCGAGAAATGTCTGAGGTCATGTGTGCAAGTTGCACATGTTAAATTTCCCTTGGTGGTAAAAAATTGACAAGAGTAGGCTTCGACCACCACCCTGGCAAAATTCAAAATTTCCTACCGATTGAAAATATTTATTGTGTCCCACACGCTCATATATGACCGTATGCAGTTGTGAGCACCGTAAAACACTTACCAAAAAAAGAAACCTGAAAAAAAAAAAACTATTCCATTGTAGATCTAGTAAAATTTGCTCAAAACCCATATAAAATTTGTCACTCCTTTTTGACTATCCTTTTTTCTATCAAGCACAACAAGTATGTTGCTATTTTGAACAGTGAGTCAATTTAAGTAATGTGTGTCACGACACAGTGGAATTTGGCTCACATCAATTTTTGTCATATACTTATATTATTGGGATAATAATAAAGCATGTTATTTTTTCTTGCTTCAAATTTAAACAAAATACTGATCCATCTTGAAAATAGCAGTAGAGATAATTGCGATTGAAGGACCCCACATCCTGGTCACCTGGTGTCTGAATTAAAATTAAGTGAGAAATTTTGCGCCAAAGTTTTGTGACTCCCGTAGCTTGAGTGAGTGTCTTTGAAAGCTGCAAATTTACCATTTTTGTGTCTTTGATCAATGTTTGTCAGTAAGATCCACACAGGGATGTGTGTGTTTTTAAGTTTAAGTGGACAGAAAAGATGTTTAACTCTGGGCCCCCCCCCCACCCCACCCCAAACCACACCCTTTGAGAATAATATATTTTATAAACAAGGTGCCTGACTCACTATCAGTCTTGCAAGCGATAGAAAATGACCATCACCTAAACCAAGATTTGATACATACTGTTTGGCTCCTATCACCTGATACATGTAACATTCTGTGGCCTCAACCTGATGATGCAGTGGGTCCCCGGACACTCAAACATACCAGGAGATGACAAAACAGACTCACTTGCCAAACGGGGATCTAGACAGGAACAACCCAACATTCCAGCTTCATGCAACACTGCAAAACGAATCATTAAAAGCAACAACAAACATGATTGGATGAACAGATGGGCCTTTATAAAGACAGGCACAGCTGTTTTCAAACATTTGACCACAACAAAACGGAATGGCAATATCAACCACCTACAGAGAAAAAATACAGACCACAATCTTCTGCCTACGAACAGAACATATACATGTATACAGCTCAACTTCCACTTGAACAGAATAAATCCAGAACTTTCCTCAATGTGTCCCTTGTGTGACTATACTTATGAGACTGGACCATCACCAGTTCCACTGCGCAGCCCTAAATGACATGAGAGCTACTCTTCTCCCTCCGAGACCTAACATTGACAACATACTCTATGGAACATTACAGCAACTGCAGCAGACCTGCACTCTGCACTTATCACTACATGGCATTGGACGGAACGGCGAGAGCCCAGCTGTTGCTGGACCGATAACAACAACAACATAGACAAGGGGCTGAATATTGTCATTTTCTTCGATTTCATTATGACAAGCACCTTATTTCACCACACCACAATGCCATACTGTCCCCATAGTTTTATGCACCCGCTTAATTTAGCAAAATTTGATCATTTTCTGCATAATTTCTGATTATTTTACTTTTATCATTCTTTGTTAAAATTAACAGAATCGCATAATTTCACATTTTTGGGCTCAGTTTGCATAATTTCATAATTTTCCTTTCATAAAACGACGGGGACAGGCCATACAAATGTATTATTTCTTTTATGTGTCTACTGACAAAATGTACTGTAGTTTCCTGCCTCTAGGTCAACACAGTGCATTTGGCGAACTCTTGAGGAAAAAATAGTGGTTAATTGGCCCTAGGTGCAAACATTTCATAAGAATCACAACGTAACTTAAAGCAGTACATCTTCACACTTTGATCTGAAAGTCCACACAAGTTTTGCAGGCAAAAAATATTACGGATTCAGGATGAAATGTGTCTTATCTGCAATAATACATGACCCAAACATTGGTACAAAGTCCTAGTGTATGCTTTAGTGTGTTGACTTTGATAAATTTCCATCTCATTTATCGATTTATTTTTAATTCTGGCTCTGATAAAGTACAAGGATAATAATTTTGCCCGAAAGTTGTACAAAGTTGGCGGGAAGTTACTGTACATATATTTGGATGAAGGCAATAACTTCAGCAAAAAACATCGTTGTCCTCTCTGTTCATCATAGCTTTTCGGTTTTCAGATGTGGCAAGCACTAGCTCGGAATCAGAAAGCTTTGAGGCTTCATCAAGTTGCTCTCAGTACATGTCGTGCTCCACATCCACCGAGAACCATTGTTGTGCTCTTCTGCATGGACTTCAAGATCTACGGAAATCAAACACACTGTGTGATTACACACTCGTTGCCGATGGCGAGGTGAGTGTGTTGATCTGTACAAAAAATAGTTTGGCCTTCAGTGAAAACAACGCTGCTTTAGTTCATAAAGTAGACAATGCAGCTAGGAGAGGCAGGTTTTTTGTTCTTATATATTTGTGGCGGTTCGTATTTTTGTCATGGCGGTTAGGCTCCCTCACTGATGTTGGTCAGAGAAGTGTGAGTTACTCTGGTATTGCTAAAAATGTTTTTACCTTACCTTTGATGCAAACATGTGCTTGTATTTATGATATAATTTTCATACAGGAATAAAATGTTTATTTCACATTTCATGTACATTAGTGACTTTAAAACATTTTTATGGAGAACAATAAACATTTTGACATCTTTGTCCTTGTGTGCACTAATTCAGTTTTGAGAGAATTTGAGAATAAATTTGTTATACTTTTGCTCACTATTTCAGAGAATTTCAGTACATCGTGCCGTGATGGCCGCTTGCAGTGATTACTTTCGTGCGATGCTGACTGGCTATATGAAGGAGAGCCGGGAGGAGTGTGTGGAGCTGAAAGGTGTCACGGCCAGTGGGCTCAAGGTGGTGGTGGACTTTGCTTACACCGGTCGCCTGGAGCTGACGTATGACAATGTACATGATGTCCTCTCCGCTGCTTCTCATTTGCAGGTAGATTGTCCACTGTGTCATGATTTGATATAAACTTGGTAAAATTTGCAAAAGCTTTGGATTCTAATCCAAGCGGGTATTAGTTGGGTTTTTTAAAATGTGGAAACAGTTCAGACTGAAACTGGAAAAAAGTGAAACAGGAGTGAACAGTTCTTATTTTATTGCTCAGCACCTCTCTGAACACAATATTTGATAGGAAAGATAAATCAATGAGAAAAATAAATTGATGTCATTTAATATTTTTTCTCCATCCATGTAGGATGATCAAACAAATCATTAAAAAAAAATTTCAATTAGGAAAACAATTTTAACAGACTTCTTTCCATGCAACATCTAGTGTATGATGAAAGTCAGTTAATTAAGTTTTTTTTTAAATCCTTCCTTTTAAAGAGTCACAGTAAGCAGAACGCTGGATGTTCAGAGTTTCATAAGAAATGTCTTAATTTGTCCCATATTCAGGTTGGCGTTGCTGTTGAGCTTTGTAGCAAATATTTGGAGACGGCACTTACAGTTGACAACTGCACAGATATCCTCAACCTGGCTCAGATGTATTCTCTGAAGTCCACCCAGGACAAAGCCATGCATTACATGATGGACAATTTTGAGGTATGCTATTCCTGTCATGTTGTCTCATTTACTCTCCAGTAGAATGTTCCACAGAGGGTGTTTTGAAAGTTCTGACATGACCTTTAGAAGATGTGGTGGTTTTTCTAAGGAAGCTCGGAGGCATAAGTTGATACGGCATTAGTTGATGTCTTAAAGCTGTTTCGATCGAAGTAAAAGGAGGTAAAAATACATGAAATAGTGAATGACAAACAGTGCTTGATACATGCTCTTACCTATATCTTGAAGTGACCCATAATAAATAGCTTATACAATATATTAAGGAAAATCAAAGTGTTACTTTATTAAGAGAATGTTAAATTCAAACTGATCCTAATGTCTTTAAGGGGTTCATTACTTTCTGTCTTCGTATGAAGGTTTAGTGGCTTTTACAAGTATTATATTGCATTGGCTGTCTTTGTTAAGACGTTTTTTTCTCTTTATTTACTTGCAGTTTGTGAGCTCCTCTCAACAGTTCAGAAAACTGACACACACGCAAATGGCGTCCATGCTGATGAGCAACACCCTGAGAGTGCCCTCAGAGTACCGACTGTTTACTCTGGTGTTGCAGTGGATAAAGCAGGAGTCGACGGACAGGGTGCAGTATCTCTCTCTGCTCATGAGGCATGTCCGCCTACCTCTGTTGGCTGGGGAAGAGTTGGTGGAGAAGGTAAGGGTTGTTCTGCATTTGTGAGATATGGGCTGTTCTCTCTTTGTGAGATATGAGCTGTTCTGTTTGTGAGATATGGGCTGTTCTCTCTTTGTGAGATATGAGCTGTTCTGTTTGTGAGATATGGACTGTTCTCTCTTTGTGAGATATGGGCTGTTCTCTCTTTGTGAGATATGGGCTGTTTTCAGTTTGTGAGATATTGGCTGTTCTCTGTTTGTGAGATATGGGCTGTTCTGTGTAGTGTGAAATGAGAGTTTTTGTCAGTTTTTATTTTTTCTCCCTCTCTCTCTCCTTCCTCTTCTCTTTCTTCTACTTGATTTTAATGATGAACTTGAAATGTTTTATGCCTCCATCAGCACAATCTAGATTACAGAAATTTCTTGACCTGATTATACAAATCTTTATTGTGTCTCCCTCCCTACCCCCACCTCAGTCTAAAAAGAAATTACAAATCTTTATTGTGTGGATGAGTGACAGGTGCTCTGGTGTGGTTTGCTCCTTCTTTCCTATCAAACATCTATCGTCCTTATCTTTCCTTTTTTTGTGTTTGTAACAACTCTAATCTTCAGCACTTATATGACCTTATTGTGTTGCAAATGCCATTAAACGCTTACTAAAAAGAACGGTTTGTTGTAACTCGCTCCCTTTTAATCTTCTGGTGCTGTTACTGGCAAAGTTGGTCAGGGAAGCGGTGTGTGAAAAGAAAGCAGAATGCTGGCAACAGTATATGACTTACTGATTTTAAAAATATTTTTTTCAGGTGAGTAAAGAGGATTTGATGCGAAATAATGTGGAGTGCAGTGATCTCCTCACAGAGGCCAAAGACTACCATATAGTAACCGGCAAACAACCGATGCTTCAGGTATTTACTATCATGACATTTCCTCAGTTTTTTATTGCTATGTGTTTCTCTTGGGGTCACTTTATTTAGTTAGAGTGATGATTACATGCATGTTAAAAAGATCAGTTAATCCGTTGAAAATGCTTAATATTTTTGACATTTTTATGGGGTTTGATAACTTTATGCTTTTCAAACATTATTATATTTTTATTTCCTAAATCTTTCTCAGGTAGCCATTGTTTGTTTACTCTCTGCTTTGTTAGTTTCCCTGTTTTCAATCCTTGCAACAGTGTACGTTTAACATTTGTATTGAAAATCCTTATCTTTGTACTTGTCTTGTTGTTTCGTGATCTCCAGACAGACAGACTGTAATTGTTGAAATGCTCCCCCTACTTTTCCATTCCTGGTTTTGACAATAGAGACTATTCTTTCATGCTGTCTAATGTAGTATTTGGTAATTTACATTTTCTTTATAGCAATAGTGAATACTTGTATTTCCATGAACAGACTGTGTAATATGTTTGAAAGACTTTGAAGTTTTATTCTTAAATCTATATCACTGATGAAGAAAACATGGCACACATGCTTTGTACTAATTATAGTTTGTTACTCTGCTTTGGGATAAATCATTAATAAATGGTTTCTGTTCTCACAGAGTACTCGTACACAAGTGCGCTCTCACCACCCCAGCATAGTGATGTCGCATGCCCAGAATCTCGAGTGCTTCACATTTCACAACAAGCACCATGGCTTCCTGAGAGATGCTCCGATCCCACTGTTCAACCCGAGCGTGGCTGTGCTGGACAACTTCATGTACGCCTGTGGGGGGAAGTACGACAGCACGGAGAATAACGAAATCGCCACAGCTCGCTGCTTTCGCTACGATCCTCGGTAAAGCTTTACTTTTTGTTCCTGGCATTTCTTTATGCAGATAAGGAAATGGAATTTAAATACAGTTGAACCTGCTCTTATGGCCACCTGTATAACAAAATCAACTGTATAAACTGTCACGTCCAATTTCTTGCCTTTTGTATTATTTTGCATTTTTATTATAACAATGAGTAGAATAGCCACTTTTCTCTTTGCCAATAAGTGGCCATCTTAGACAGTTTTGACTGTATTTAAAAGAAAAACTATTGAAATGTCTTAGTTGTTAAACACGGGTGGGGCAGGTTAAAAGAAACCGACTGTGCACATCTGTATTCTTTTATGAAGCTGCCAGAATTTTTTTTGTTATTGGATGGATATTGTTACTCTGGGATATTGCAGAGTTTATGAAATGGCAGCACCCACAGCTTTGTGAAGTTTATTGAATTCTTTTTGAGAGGACTTGTGAAATAATTTGGACTTATAAGTTCTTTTATCTGAATTATTCTGTAACTCAAGGAATATGATCCACAGAGAGATGATTGCAGTTATGCATTTTTGTTCAGATCACACCGATGTTTACTCTCCTGAAAGATCAGACTCTAAAATGGAATCATTGTGCATATTGCATCTCCGCAGGTTTGATTCCTGGTTTGAACTGGCTGCCATGAATGAAGCTCGCAAGGACTTCGTTGTGGTGCCCTACAATGGCAAACTGTACGCAGTGGGAGGCCAGGATGAGAACATGGTCATGTGTACAGTAGAGTGTTACACTGTGGCTACAGAAGAGTGGGAGCTGTGTGCCTCTATAAGGTGAGGAGAGAGAGAGATGGGGAGGGATGTAGAGAGAGAAAGAGAGAGAGAGAGAGGGTATGGCCATGTGTACTGCGAAGTGTTACACTGACCACACAGGAGTGGGAGCTGTATACCTCTATAAGGTGAGGAGAGAGAGAGAGGGAGGGAAGAGAAAGATAGATGTAAAGAGAATGTGGTCACAGAGGGGTGGAAGCTGATTGCGTTCATAAGGTGACGAGAGAGAGGGAGAGAGAAAGGGGAGGGATGGAGAGAGAGAAATAGAGATGGAAACCAGGATGAGAACGTGATCATCTGTATTGCCGGGTGTTACCCTGTTGCTACAGAAGAATGGGAGCCTCTGTAAAGTGAGATGAGAACAGGTGAGAAAAAAATGGAGAGACGGAGAGGTGGAATGAGTGGAAAAAGAGATATAGGGACTTGGTGTTTTAAGAATTTTTTAAACTGAGAAATATACAGCTTTCTGTGTCATGTTCCTTCTTATGGGTTATTGGTCTTCTTTCTTGGGGTAGCAAGCTAGTCAGTGCTAAGATAATTTGAAGGATATAGAGAGGAGATACCATGCCTCTAAAATGTTGTTATGATCTCCTGTATCAGAATCTTTCTATTTCTTCTCCTCATCAGTCACTCATGCTATGGCCACGCTGGTGCTGTCTGTGAGGACAAGATCTATATCTCTGGTGGTCAGCGCTTTTCGGGTTGTGCTAACAACATGAGCTGTTTCAACCCAGCCGCCAACACCTGGGAGGAAAAAGTCTCCATGCTCAATGGACGCTGCAATCACGTTATGATGGAGGTATGTTCTATATCAAGACTGCTGTGGGTTTTACAGGTTTATTAAAAGTCTAGTCCCCGTTGGTTTATTTGGGAGGGGGACTTTTTTTCTGTGTGCTCGGGGGGGAGGGTAAGTGCTTTTGTTCCAAGTTCATTAAAAATTTTTATGTGTACAGTCTCTTCGCATAGGAATATATTTTGAAAAGCAGAATTTACCGTGTGTTTTTGCCGGAGGATTTGTGATTTAAATTTAAAGGTCATGGGTTTGGTTCTAGCAGATTTATTAAGAAGTAATATTCTAAAGAATGATGGTTTACTCCATTTTTTGTCTCTCATCCTGTGTTTGAATAGTGTATCAGTTTTGCCTCAGGGTCAAGACAGACAAATCAGTGTTCTATCAATTCTTTAAAATGCGTTCTCTGTGTCTTGTGCTGTGGTCTACCTCTGAGAAATGATACAAACAGGTTCTGGCAGTTTCAACATTATCTCATTTTTTTTAAGGAGGCTAGTGGGTGGTTGGTGGGTGTTTTGGTGGGTGCTTTGGTGTGGTTTGCTCCTTCTTTCCTATCAAACATCTATCATCCTTATCTCCCCTCCTTCTTTCTTATGTTTGTTACTCTCTTGTAACACCTCTAATCCTCTGGCGCTCATATGACCTCATGCAGTTGCGAGCGCCGTAAAAACCTCTACTAAAACAAACAAAAACAACGAAGGAGGCTAACTTTACTATACTTTCTCTGTCCACATCCAGGTTCAACGCAAGCTGTATGTCATTGGAGGGAACATTGAAGACAGTTATGGATTCCCTGTGCCTATCATTGCCATGGAGTTCTACGACCCTCTTGCTGATCAGTGGTCAGTGCTTAAAACCACATGCAACATCCGAGAAGCTGGAGCAGCCGTCCTTAACGACAAAATCTACCTGGTTGGAGGAATCAATGGAGAACATTACTATTCTGACCTGCTTCAGGAGTACGAGCCGGAGAAAGACCAGATGTCAATTGTAGAGAGATTCCCTACTAGAGTGTATGGCAGAGCGTGCTGCATTCTCACTTTGCCGCACTATCTATCTGGGATCGGATCCATTTAATGATAGTCGCGTTTGTGTATAGAGACACTCCCTCCATTGTCTTTCTTCACAATGTTCTGGAACAAAGGGACTTGTGGGCTGACTGAATTGGGAGAGACTGTCGTCTCCCACCATCTTGTCAACGACTGCTTTGGCCGACTGAATGAGCCGTTTTCAGGTGGATGTTCCGTTCTTAGAACATTGTGCTATTTCATATGCCCATTGTATAGCATTTTAATGTAAGAAATAACAGGGTGACTGCCAGGCCCTGGTAATTACTACTCGAGTTTTTTAAAAATTGCTGAGACCCAGGAATGCCCTGAGAAGTTGAGGAAATCTGTAAATTGCCATGGAAAAGACCCGGGAAAAAAACAAAGTTCTTGAATATTTGAAGGCCAAATATGATGAAGTCGGCATAAGTTTATTTTTGCTGGTCGTGTTGGTGGTATTTGTTTGGCTTTACCTGGTCCGAGAGTATGTTTCATGCGAACAAGTGGCTATTGCAGCAGGCGGAAGTGTACTTGTGATACAGAGGCTTGATCGGGAAAATCAAGATCTACTTTAGTTTTCGTTACCGCCCAGATGGTCTGATAATGTAACAATTATGACATGCAAGTTGTGCATTATAAACGCAGTGTCGCCATGCAAATTAATCGATTTTCATCACTATGCTGTCACTTATGGGAAACGAAAAAAAATAATAAAGCATTCTCCATTTTCTCGCTTGTCGAGCCCCATCATCATGACTAGTCAGTGAACCTGCTATGAATATCACATGACATGGCATCTTGTGAGTATGGCCTGTGTTAGGAACCCGTTGCTGTTGGGGTCACTAAAGTTCATTCAAAGTCGGAGTGTCGTGAGGACTTTGAAGTGGGGAGAATTTTTTTTTTTTTTAAGATACACTTGGGGTACTTGACACAATACCAGAGAATAGAAACTTGGAAACAAATTTTAGAAATTTGATTAGATAGGCCAAAGATATCTGCAAAGCGCGCTTTTGTGCAGGCCTTTTGTGGAAAAGACATCAGTAATAACACCTTGTTATTGAACAATAATGCTCATGTTTCATTGGAAAGGTGATTATATAAATAGCTATATTTTAGCTTATATTTTAGCTATCCTTTCAAGATTGGTAGATTTTGTTGTTGTTGTTAGCGATCCAGTAGCATCTGAGCGTTAACTCTTCTGCATGATGCCATTCGGTAATAGTTGCATGTTTGTTCTAATTGTTGTCTTGAGGAGTAGAGGCAATTAGATGTGTGGGGTTGCTTGGGAAGAAGACATCCCCTTAAATCAGTTAGTTTTCTACAGAAGAACAGATGATGTTCCACTGTCTCTGAGGGGTAGTTACATAGTGGGCAGACAGCAGACTGCTTTACTCCAATTCAGTTGAGATGTTGGTTGAGGGGTACATGTTGTGTTCTAAGTTGGAAGATTATGGATTGATCTCCCCTCCTCAACTCATTGATTGGATCTTTGACCAGTGGTTTATTCATGTGGCCATACATCCTCCTTCCTGTCGTACCTGTGGCCCAATCATTCATCCACTCTTCCTTGAGGTTTGACTTGATCATTTGGCAGCAGGTGGTGTAATTCGTAGGAATTTCAGGCTGAGGGAGGCTAGCTCCTTTCTTTGCCAGAGCATCAGCTCTTTCATTTCCCGGTATCCCAGTGTGGGCAGGAATCCATTGTAGGACTACTAGATTTTCAGTATCAGGATTGGTAGATTTTCAGTATCACTGCATCCTGCACTCCCTCAGTTCTTGCAAAGTTCACACTGAGAAGATGTAGTTGAGCCAATTCAGTTATTACTCTACTTTGAGCAATAATATATTTTTTTTCATGATTATAATGTCAATCATAACATCCAGACTGATTCATGATCGTCAATATTCTGGTTCCAGACCCTAGCACAGGCTAAGAACAGACTGAAAGACCAAAGTCGCACAAGACTCCAGTGCAACACTGACATGTTGTTGAGTGGATATATTTTTTTTTTAAATGGAGCGCCTTGGAAAATGAATGCCCCCAACCCACACCCTGGAAAATTGAGAAGCCAGTTTGGCAGTCGCCCTGAAATAAAGATCCCCCACGAGTTTGTTTTTGTCTCCTTTTTAGTAAGTCTTGACCTTCTTGTACACTGCAATTTGAATATTCGTCTTTGACTTCAGATGAAAATTACAGAATGTGCAGGCTTATTAGAAAGGTAACAAGTGGATGGATCGTGCTGCAGATAGATCTGACCCTTTGCCTTGTTTTCTGTGTTATTCCAGTGTCTTGTTTTTTTCATGGCTTGTGTTTGATAAGAGTGAGTTAACAAGCAAACCCGTCCTAGGCTTCTCTTCACTTTCTAATGAAGAGCCAAGAATTCCACCCCATTTGACCGTACCTTTTCTTCCCTTTTACGTATAGTAAAGATTTTTTAACTTCTTTTTGTTTGGGGGGGTGGGGGGGGGTACAGATTTTGTAGATGACTCACTACTTTACCCTAACGCTTAGCATAAGGTGAATTGCAGCACTGCTTGACCGTTAGTATATCGCCATTGTCAGATGTAAAAGCTTGGCTTAGAAAACTAGTTTTTTTAGTTCACTTTGTGGGTATTAATGCTAAAGATAGCGTGTCAAAAGTGACTCTTGTTTCCCATCTTTTCCCCTCAAACTTTTCAAACCCCATTTTTGTTTGATTGATAGTAATAGTCAAAATTGTCCAAGATGGCCAATTGTTCATGATGGCTCGTTGTCTTAGACAGATGGATGTCTTGGACAGTGTCATAATATATCATTTATTAACCACAAGGGGGACGTGGAAAGTGGTCGTTCGGACAGGTGGCCGTTAAGGGGATCCACTGGTCAGATCAGTAAAAATTTTGAAAAAATATCAGTTTTCGGATTTTGGTGTATCTTAATAGATATCAATATCAAGGACTCATCTTTAGAAGCCTAATTCCTCTATCAAACTTATAAATAGCTGGAAAATGCATTTAAGAGAGGCAGCAATGTAGGAAAATCTTCACCAAAAATTATCTCTCTTTGCAGTTTTCTCAGAATTGTTTATCTGACCAGGTAGCAACACTATATTGAGTAGATCTCAGAAAGTTACTGTCAGAATTGTTTCAAATTTGGACACAATCTTTTATACACATTACTCTATAACTTTACAGGAGCATTTTTGCTGTTTATGGAACACATTTGGAGTTTTAGGCCTGTTTTATTTGACAAAATCTTAAAACATTGGAGACCTGAATGTGGTGCACAGCAAGGACTGTAAGGCTCACAAGTCAGTACAGAACATTCACATTTGGCTCTGTAAGGTTGTTCTACCTACCAACAGTAATCGCCATGCCAAATATTAGGCTTCTATCTTGATGAGTGTTGATGATTGACAAAATATAAAATTGGTTTTAAAAATGCTGAATCAATCCTTTATTTTTGATGGCTCGAGATTATTATGGCAGAAATCTTGAATTTTTTGCTTGGTAACCTTTTTTTGTACTATGTCACCGCCTTTGATGCAGAAAAGCAAGCGTTAGACCAAAAACTATAGCATTTGGGTGTTGACCATAGCTACACCCCGTTAAGGCAAGGTTAACTGTATGTAAGTGAAATTCTGTTTCGTAGAGTTCATGAAAAACTTTAAAAAATCTTTTTTACCCTACTTCTGTCTAAGGAGATTTTGAAATAGAGAGAAGAGACTAATCATCACAACATAACATTAGTGTTATCTCGATGCTTCAGCTTTACTTTTTATGAAAAGCAAGAACAAGTTCAGTTTTGGTACATTAGAACTATCACTCACCCTTTTGCTGATTAATGGAGATCTCCTCTTGGCTTGTGCAACGCCGTTTAATGGGATGATAAAGGCACATCATGCAGAAAATACAAATACAGTGCAGCCTGTCTATAATGACCTTTGATATAACGACATTGTTCATTGTTTCAGGAAGCAACATCCCTAAAACGACATTTTTTTCTAGTCCTAACGATGTCGTTACAGAGAGGCTGCGCTTAACAGTTGCGCACGATAACTTGAACACGGTGAGGATTGACAAATGTGCTCGACACATCCATAGTGTAGAGTAACCGACAAGGAAAATTTTCTAATGTATCAATCAGGGAGTGGCAAACTGTACGAGCTATCGATGATTTTGAGTTGTGTTAGTGTTATCTGTGCTGTATTGTAGTACGTACTTCATCTTTTTTATCCGAGTGGAAAGAAAAGTGCAATAGTGGAATAGTTATGATCATATTTTATTGCTGTGGTTTGTGCGATATATTTCTTTGTAGCCTTGTGAAATGGTCTGTTCTCTGTATATTGTATAGAAAAGTATAAATGTTGGTAGTCTAATGGTGAGGCTACCGGACTCGTAATCGTGTGGCTGCAGGTTCGAGGGTTTGAGTCTCAGGCCCAACGTTGTGTCTTTGGGGAAAGGCTCTCTAAATGAATTGTTCAAATTTCACTCAGGTGGAAATAGGTAGCGGGCCATAGACAGCAAAAGAACTCTTTAATGTTTTAGTCCCTATAAAATGGCTGCTTGTGCTGTATGCTTCCCAGAAAGTTGAGATTGTTTAAGAATTCTATCAGATCTGCTGATGTAATAATACACATAGAGCTTGCTGTTGAGCGGGAATTTGCGCAATCAAATGCTGTCTATTATTGTTATCATTATTATTGTTATTATAGATGTGAGTAACAAAACACAAAGTGGCACATAGAAATAATTGACGATTTGGATAGAACTAGTAGAACTTGTTAAGGCTTTCTCCGACTACCCGTTATATTGTTTTATGCAGGGCATTACTACTTCACAATGCTACCTGAACGCTCATAAGACAAGCACCAACTTATAACTGTGTTGTTTTTAATTTAAGCGTGTTTTCCCTTGTGAAATCTATGACTGTATTGTGTATGATGAAATTATTTATTTTAATGTGTAAAGTAAGAATGTGTACCTTGTGAGCTTGTTTAAAAAAAGCAAGTAAAGGTTTTGAATTACTGACTTGCTATGTCTGTCCTGCATAATAATATGTGTTGCAACATGGTGGAATCAGGAGCTTGTACATTTTGGGGCATATGAAGTTATTGATATCGTTTTGAAGCTTGTTCAATTGTCTTGCTTTTGACCTCCCAAAGTACCCACCTACCTTAAACAGAAATATAGATATTTGCGATTGAAGATCGTGAGGACCACCTGGCGTCTGGGACAAATTTCTCCCTGCGAGATGAATGAAGATTGACGTCTTTGTCAAAATTCAGTGAGAAACTATACACCACAATTTGATGACTTGCAAAGTACGAGAGTCTTTAGAAACTGCAAATTTACATTTTTTGTGCCTTTGATCGTTTTTCAGTAAAATCCACCCAGACATGTATTTTTAATGGACTTAAAAGGTGGTGAGTCGAAAGGGAAAAAAATCAACAATATGGCCCAACAGGTTGGAAAATGTCAATGTCTTCGGTTTCATGATTTTTAACGAGCGCCTGATTTCACCGTGATGTCACACATGTCACAATCATTTTGACATTCATATTGTTATTGATGTATTACATGTTATTTGTGGATTTACTGTCAGACATGAAACATTCTATGCTGACTGGTCAGTCGAGGATCTAATCCAGCAATAAGCTGATCTCTGAAACAAAATGTGGGCAAACTGTTAAAATGTCCTAAAGCCCAGTGAACAAAATTTTTCAAGAGAGAAAA